CACCTTCAATTTCACGGTTTACCGTAGCGCTGCCACTTGCAGCGTCCAGCTTGGTCGCAAAACCTACATAGTTCATATCCAGCAATTCAGCCAGCATACCGCCAACAACGCCGTTATTATAATCAATACTTTCTTTACCGGTCAGGATCAGGTCATAACCGCCTTCTTTTGCAAAAGCAGCAATCTCTGAAGCCACTACATAAGGGTCATGGCTGTCCACATCTATACGGAAAGCCTCGTCGCCGCCAAGCGCCAATGCCTTACGGATAACAGGCTCTGCATCATTCTTACCTACAGTAACCAGGTGAACTGCTGTAGCAGCACCGCTTTCCTTTAATTCAAGTGCACGAACAAGCGCATACCATTCATCATAAGGATTGATGATCATGGTAACGCCAGCTGTATTAAAACTGGTATTATTATCGCTGAAAGCGATTTTGGTGGTTGTGTCGGGAACCTGTGCAACGCAGACAAGTATTTTCATTTGCAAATAAGTTTAAAAACAGTTACAGCTTAAATTGCTGTTTGAAATTTAAGCCGCAAAGCTAAGGCAAAGTGACTCAAAATCGCATATGAGCCGTTTATGCAGGCGGGAATTTTTGGAAGGAGCGGATAAACCCTGTCGGGAACCATTGCAGATAAACACTTACCGGGCAGCGCGAAAGAAATCCCTCCCCCGCAAAATGAACGTTCTTAACACCTGCTCCTAAGTAAAATATACATTCAGGAATTGAAACAACTTGCCGGCAAGGTCATCAGCTGCACCTAACACGACCATCTATTGCCAATAAACGTTATAATCCACCTACTTTTGCAGCTTATTATCTAGCATGCGCCTGTTTACACACCTCGTTTCCCTGGTCCTGTTTGTCTGTCTGTCTTCATCGGCATTTGCCCAGGCAGACTACCAGGGCTTTAAATTTAAAGAAGGAGATCTCCTGTTCCAGGACCTCGACTGTGGCGGCCTTTGTGATGCTATCGAAAAAGTAACTGTTGGTGCCGGCAACCGTAATTACTCACATATAGGATTGGTCTGCATTAAAAAGGACACGCTCTACGTGATTGAAGCCATTGGCAAAGATGTACACCTCACCCACATTGATACCTTTATCTACAGGCAGAAAAACAGTAAAGGCAAGCCAAAAATAACCGTGGGCCGTTTAAAAAAGAAGTATCAAAACCTGAACAGTAAAGCCATTGCCTATGCA